AGCATGGGCATATCACTACCCCACCATCATATACCCCTTCCCCCTTTCCTCCCCCACAGGTGCCCTCTTTTTTTTATATGAGAAATATGGTATCCCTATATGGTATAAATATGGTAACCTCGGCCTGAAATATGGTAACCTCAGCCTGAGTTACAGCATTACCCCAAACCAAAGAGAAGTTCAGTGTTGGGTCCAAGTGGGGGTGGGATCTAGCTGCTGCCAGGACCCTGCAGCTAGGTTTCCACAGCAACAGCAAAGGCTCTCTGCTAATGCTCCCCATTTTCAAAATGGGAGGGGGAAAGGCAGCAAAGGGAGCTGATTCTCGGGGCTCCCCAGCTGGTGCTGAAGGGTAGAGTGGGTGAATTGGAGGTTTCCCACCTCGGGAAGGGGGCTCCAATACACCCCCCACCTCCAGAGGGGCTGAACCCCACCACCACCACCACCACCACCACCACTGAACTCCCTTCTCTCCCTTTCCCCCCTCTCATTCTGAAAGCAGTGACAGGCTGGGAGCTCTGCAGACACAAGTTACAAAAGACACTACATTTTGAAACATCTTTATCTGATACCTCCTGCAATGAGGGGTCAGATATTCACCAAATCAGCCATTTTTTAAGCTGTCTGCAGCTGTGCACTTGTGTTTGGTCGGTTATAGACTGCTTTCTATGGCCCAATGGAGCAAAAATGGTCAAGTCTGTCTATACCCTAAATGACTGTGCAGTAACAACTGAGCAGTCAGCATCTTGTGCAGACATGGCTAGAGAGTCACTGTGCAGCTGAAAAATGCATTCTCCTCAATCTATGCCTCTATCTCAAGGGCAGAATAGAGACCTGGGGTGCAACGCTCCTGAGTCAGAGTAGTACAGAATAATGGAAAAGAAACAGCTGACCCCTTTTGTTTGTAGGAGAGTGCTGTATCCCACTGCATTTACTTACCTGCATCTTGCTTCATGAAAAGAAAGGAAAAGGCAACTCCACATTGTCCTATTCTAATTTAGTTATAGTTTAAACAGCTGAGAGACTCCTGGAGGAGATTTTGGCAGAGAAAGCCTAGACATTGGCAACATGTAGCATGTGCATGTGGGTGCACATGCACCCCCAGATATCAGCCGTGTGCCCCCTGGAAGCGCCAGCTGCAAAACCATCAGTAGCACCAGAAGTGCACTTCCAGTTTTGCCAGTTTTGCCACTGGCTCGGTGATCGGGTGCTGGGGAACCTCCCTCCCAACCTTCATCGGCAATCTGGTGCCACCCCCCAGACTCGGGAGGCACCAGTCACCCGTTAGTCCAGATACACTGAATGAAAGTGACCCTTAATTTTTCAAGTTACTTTCTCCTTCCTCTACCCTGATGTTCCTCTCAGAGAAGTTCATGGGTGATTATCTATCCCTCCATGGAGCATTGCAGACACTGGGGGGGGGGGGGGGGGGAAAAAAAGGGGGGGG